TTGGGCTGTGGGCTGTGGCTCAGCAGTCTGATCCTCAGCACTAAAAAACAAGCGGAAACTTGGTCTCACACTGTGCACAAAAATCAGTCCTAGCTAGACTGCAGGCCTCATGGACAGAAGGTAAAATAAAACTTGAAGATAAAATTAGAGACTAGATTCAAGGCTATGGAACAAGCAAATACTTCCTGAAAGGGCGGCCCATGAGGAAAAATACATTAATCCCAACCTGCAGCACACCTTCAAACAAAGGACTCATGTCCTATGTATATAAAAAACTTCTGCAATGAAAAAGGCAAGGAGGCCGGGGAGACGGCTCAGTGGAATAAGCGCTTTCCTGGCAAGTGCAAGGGCCTGAGTTCACACCCCGGTTCCACCAAAAAAGAAAAAAGAAAAGAAAAAAAGAAAAGAAAATTCAGTACTCAAATAAACTATAATAATTGATTCTTTAAAAAAAAAGGCAAGGAATTTTAATAAGCATCTCATGAAAGAAGCTATCTAAAAGGCAATACACATGATCGCTCCTTTAGCCCCATTAACTGTCAGGTATATGCAGAGTAAAACAACGACACCTGTGTGCATTAACGGTTAATACAAAAAAGGCCAACGATATCAGCGTCGAGGCGAATGTGAGCGGATGGGGCTCCGGAGCACTGATCAACGGTGCCAAGTAATGCTGACATCCCAGAATTAAAAACCTATTCACAGGTCACTTTGTAGGCTTTAAGCTACTGTCAAGTGTAGCATCTACCCTTAGTTTAGCAATATTCACAGGCATCAGAGGTTAAATATCAAGTCTGTTTCCTTGAAGGAAAAAATCCTCAATTATACTGGACTGAATGGCACAACCGAGTATGACATAAATCTAGACTCTGAACAATCGGGGTGAGCAGGGCCTGCCCCTGGCTCAACACAATCTGCCAGCTGCTCTGGGTCACGGTGCGGTCAGCCCGTTCCTGGCAGGAGCTCATCATGCGGAGGTGGTGCAGACAGGTCAAATGAGGGCAGGGGGCAAATCCCTTAATCCTCTACCCCTCCTGTGCCTGTCCATCCTGGTCAGCGACTTCTCAAGCAGGAAGCATATCCAACCTGTCCCAGCAGCTACTCCAACAGCACACCTGAGATTCACGCTGTCACGGGGCCCCGGGGAAGTTCGGCAAGTTTAGGCACCCTAGATTTACTGATCAGGTGTCCACCTGTCGTTTGAATTTTCATCTACTGAGACTCAGCTGTCAGCTGCCGGTCACTCAGCTTCCTGTCTTCAACCCAGCACCCGCACCATAAGATGTCTCCCTCGCCAGCCTTGTGCCTGCTTCTACAGCAACTAGAGGATTCTGGGGATCTTTCCTTGTCCTCTTTTGCTGTGCTTGGGGCTAAATCCAAGGCCTTTGTGCTGAGCTATATCCCCTGTCCTTTTTTTGGAGGCATGGTCTTGCTAAGTTGTTAAATTCCCCAGTCTGGGCTTGTATTTGTGATCCTCCTGCCTCAGCCTCTTACAATGCTGGCCTTACAGGCAGGTGTCACCATGCTGGTATTAAGGAATACATCTTTGAAGAGAAGCAAGGACTATAGTTTAAGATATCTGGCAAGTGCAAGGACCCGGGTTTGACCCCTGGTACCGCATGCTGTGCTGGCCCCAGAACCCTGGGCGCCCGATGCCGTCCACCGAAACCAGGCATGGTAGCGCATGCCTGTAATCCCAGAACTGGGAAGGCTGAGACAGGAGGATTACTGTGAGTCTGAGCTGCAGAATGAGATCCTGTACCAAATAAGTAAATAAATAAAAATATTATTTTTAAAAAGATATGATGGGGCTGGTGAGATGGCTCAGTGGTCTAAAGCACCTACTTAGAACAAGCTTAGCAAAGCACAGGGACCGCGGTTCAATCCCCCAGCACCACATGCCAGCCAGCCCTGCCCCCTGGTGGGCTGAGCTGGACACACACACACACACACACACACACACATAAAAAAAAAAAATTAAAAAAAAAAAAAAAAGATATGATGTAGGGCAGGAATTGTAGCTCAGTGGCACAGTGCCTGACTGGCAAGTGTGAGGTCATGCGTTCAATTCCAGGTACCAATAAAAAATATATATGACATAGGTGAAACATACTTTAAAATGAGGACATCTCACTAAGTACAAAATAAGAGGTGCAGATCAGTAGGTACGATATTAGGGCTCCTGGCCAGCCTGCCCTAGAGTGCCTCTGCAGACTGTTCCGTCCTTATGGAGCTTGGGAACCCTTTAGGAAACAGATGAGATTGCCCCAGACTCTGGGGGATGGCGGAACAGCCTGTGAGCAGGAAGGGTCAGAGTGAAAGCAGGACTCCAGGGAAGGAACGGCTGAGCCAAGGCGCAGATGATTGTACCAGGAGGCTGCCCGCACTAAGATCGAAACGGTCACCAGGCCTGGTGGCGCACGCCTGCCATCCCAGCACTCTGGGAGGCTGAGGCAGAAGGGTCACAACGCCAAGCCCCAGCCCTGAGCAATTTAGCAGCTTAGCCAGACCCTGCCTCCAGATAAACAATGAAATTTTAAGTACTGTAAGAGCTAAGTATGTATTATTTGGCTCAGTGGGAAGCCTCTGGGTTCAATCATCAGTACTGAAAATAAAAGGGCAGAGTTCAGGCCTGGGGAAGCCTTGAGCCAGCACTGGTTCACACTCTGCTCAGTTAGAAGGCAGAGAAAACCCCAGCGAGGTGATGTGGAAGAACAACAGCAGCAGAGCCGGGTTGTGTTTTTAAACCCCAGAAAGAGGCCTGCGCTCCCTGCACTGCCTCTGCCAGGGGGCCCATCGAGCTCGTGGCAGCCAGGCTGGGGCGCCAGGCAATGACAGGAGCCTTGTTTTTAAAGCTCCTCACTGTACACTTTTGGAGGCTTCATTCTTGCCCACAAGATATTTACTTATTTATTTATTTGTATTTTAGGGAAGGGTCTACAGGGTGTTCAAGGTCTCACTACTAGACTGGACTCATAGTGATCCGCCTGTTTACAGCCTCCCAAGAGTGGGGATTAAGAGGCATGCACCACCTCGCCCAGTCTTAGTGTGCCCCGGGGGCAGGGCTGGCACGGCAGGCCCTGACTGAATCCCTGGCCCCTGCGCCTGCTTGCAGGCGCTTTAATCAGAATCAGTAAATATTAAGGGGCTGGGGGGTGCTACCGGTTAGCTC